TTATATTCCCACCAAGTCTATAAAGACCCCAATTTCTCTACTTTCGCTGTCGACCTTTCAGCTTAAAGCCATTCCAGTGGGTACAGATGGCACCTCGTTGTAATGAAATCTGTATTTCCCTGATGACTAAGGATGGAAAGCATCTTTTCGTGTCTTACTTGCCATCTACAGGTCTTTGGTAAAGTGTCTTTTCTGATCCTTTGGCCATTTTTACTGAGTTGTAAGTGTTCTTTATATATTCTGAATACAGTCCTGTACTAGATAGACGATTTGCAAATATTATGTCAGAGTCTGTGAATTGCCTTTTCACTTTCTGAATGAAATGACTTTGAAGCACAAAAGTTTTTATTTTGATGTAACAGTCCAATTCACAACTTCAAAAGCAGAATCTACATACAAGCTTTCTCTTTTCTTTTGGAGACTGATGGTATTGGAGGTATATCTAAGAACTTTGGCTTGACCCAAAGTCACAAATATTTTCCTACATGTTTTCTTCCAGAAGTGTTATAGCTTTAGCTCTTAAATTTTAAGTCTATGTTCCATTCTGAGTTCATTTTTTTGTACTGTGTGAGGTAAGAGTCAAAGCTCATCTTTTTGAAAAATTTTTAATTTTGGTAAAATACACATAACATAAACTTATCTTAAGCATTTTTAAATGTACAGTTCAGTGGAATTAAATACATTCACAGTGTTACAGCATCATAACCACCTCCTACCTCCAGAAGCCTTTTCATATGTAAAACTGCATCTTCTGGGCAATAAACCCCCATTGTCCCCTCCCCCCACCCCCATCTCTGACAACATCACTCTACTTTCTATGAATCTGACAACACTGAAAAACTCCTATCAGTAGAATATCTGTCCTTTTGTCACTAGCTCATTGCACCAAAGATAATGTCCTCAAGGTTCATCCATGCTGCGGCACATAGCAGAACTTCTTTTTAAGGCTGAACTGTATGTCGTGCATATCCGTATCAGCACACATAGAGACATACACATTTTGTTTATCCATTTATCTTTCAGTGAACACTGGGTTACTTCCACCAAAAAAAAGTAATTTTAGAACAGTGAAAACTCCATAATTTGAACTGGAAATACCAATATGAACCATACTTTTTCTCCTTTCAAAGATTCCTAGGTCTGCCTGGTGAAACGGATTAGAAGCAACAACATTCTGGTCTTCATTGTGGTCTCTGAGCACGTTAACCTACTAAAAGGGATCAGATTCCCAGGAGGAAAACCTGATGCCAGGTTTGGGACAGGAAATACTCAGATGAACCTAGAATATCTTGCTTGGACCAAAAGCCAGGAAGCCAGGAAGCCAGCTAAGGCTGAAAGAGTCACCTCAAGAGAGCTCAGGACCGCGCAGAAGAGGCTCCTCCGGCCACAGCTGGGACACCGGAAGCCTCTGGAAGAGTAAGGACTGCAAATGGCTGAAACTAACGGAACACCACAAGATTTAGGAATTTCTTAATCATACTCAAGTTAAAAAAGGAAAAAATCCAATAAAAAACTCATTGCTGTCACCAGCAGAGGTAACTAAGGCACCAGCTCCCTGGTGGCCCCTGGCGCTTAATGAGGAGTTGAGCACGCACCCCGCTGTCCCGACACGGGCTCACGTGTAAGCCAGCCTCTCGCCGTCCTGCAGCCGGGGCTCACATCCAACCCCTACAATGGGAATACACCTGTCCTCAGCCGTACTCAAAAGCAGATGGGAAAAAAGCAAAACTATATGCACATCTAGAGTTAAAATACCTTCACTCTAGGCCTTAACTTTTTCCTTCAAAGAACTTGTTTCTTCTTTTCTTTACTTTTTAAGACAGAGTGTGTGTACATGTGTGAGCAGGGGAAGGGGCAGAGGGAGTGAGAGAATCTCAAGCAGACTCCAGACCCCAGACTGCCCAGCGCAGAGTCCCACGCGGGGCTCAATCTCGAGACCCTGACATCATGGCCTGACCCGAAATCCAGAGTCAGTCGCTTAACTGACTGAGCCACCCAGGCACCCCGCTTAAGAATTTCCAAGTACAGTGACCAGCACCAAGATAGCGAAACTTTGAAAAAACAAGAAGGCATAAACAAACTAATGAAAGTCAACACACAACAGAGAGAATACCTCAAAGACAACAGCCAATGAACGGGCTCCATGGCCACTGATCATAGAGCGTGCACCTTATTACATTCAAGATGAAGGCAAACTTTATCATTTGGCCAAGAATTAGACAAATGACTTAACAAGCATATTTGAAAAAGGAAAAGAATTAATAAAAATGGATGGGGCGCCTGGCTGGCTCAGTCGGTTAAGCGTCCCTTGATTTCTGCTCAGGTCATGATCTCAGGGTCCTGAGATAGAAGCTGCACGCAGGGCCCCACGCTCAGTGGGCAGTCTGCTGGAGCGTCTCTCCCTCTCTCCCTCTGTCCCTCCCTCGCCGTGTGGATGCACACTCACTCTCTCTCTAACAAATAAATCTTTAAAAAAAAAAAAAATGGAAAAAACTTTTAACCAAAATATTTTTAATAGCATGTCAGAAGTAATTAATTAAAAGACAAATTATAGGAAATTATCCAGAAAACACCCATTAAGTTAAAAAAAAATGTTAAAGCAATAAACAATGTGTACAACGGCCAAACCTCTGTGAGAGAAAAAATACAAAGGCAAGAGAGGAGAAGAAAAAACAAACACAAAACCCCAGATCAAGTACAGCAGATAGAGAGCACACAGTGAGATGGCAGATTTAAACCCAGACATATCGGTAACTGCATCGATCATAAACAAAGTGCATCGTTTAAAATAAAAAGAATGACTGATGAAAAACAAATTTATGCTGTTTTAAAAAGGCACATCCAAAATACAAAGACTGAAAAAAGATACAAAACTGAAAGTAAATAGGATAATTTCTTTCATGGAACTTCCTAAACAGATTAAACATTTGTAAGTAGGAAACCTATTGATTTTTAGACTGATTTTGTACCAAGGTACCTTACTGGATTCTCCTCAAACTCTTCCCACTGCAACAGAACAACTTCCTTAATTCTCCATCACGGTCCTCCTGCCTCCTTCCCATTTCTGCAGCCGACTGCCGTTCCCATCGCTCCACTCTTCATCTTCTTTCCCTCCCTAACACACATACACACCCACACTCTGTTCTGGAAATGTTACCAGTAACACCCACCACCACCGTCATCACTAAATCCAACTTCAACTTCTATGACCTAATGTTACTTGACCTCTGTGGGACATCTCACATGGCAACTGGTTTTGAGGTTTCCTTTTCTTAAACTCTGGAACACAAGCCTCTTCTTTACTCTCATCTCTACTGGGCTCTCAGTAATCAGCCCCTCTTCTGCATCCTTCCCTTGCCAGTTCTCTGAGAACTATCCCCAGTCCTCTTCTCATTCTACACACTCTCCTTGAGCTAATCTGGCCACACCTGATCAGTGTGGCCTGTCCAGATCTTGCTCTTGAGACACATGCTTACTCTTCTGCCCACCAACAAGTACTGGGTCCAAACCATCTAAAGCAGAAATCTCCACCCACCTCCCCCCCACCAAAAATAACTCTGATAGACTTCCCTGACTCGGGGAATGCTACCACTCCCAACCCAGGCCCACAGAGCAGAATTCCAACAGTCACACCCGCTCTTCCATCTCCCTCACAACCAGCACCCAACTAGTTACCAAATCCAGTTGCTTCTGCCCCCCACCCTTTTTTAAATTAATGTTTTCTATATATTTGACTACCTTATTCACTTATCTTATTAAGGTATAGTTGATACCCAATGTTCCATTAATTTCAGGAGTACAACACAGGGGTCTATCATGTCATGCTCACCATAAGCCCAGCTACCATCTGCCACCTTACAACATTATTACAATACCACAGAGAACATTCCCTATGCTGTACCTTTCATCCCAGCGACTTGCTTCTGCCTCTCTACCATCTCTCTTTTCTCAAAACTACTAGTTTATTTAAACCCTTGTCTTCTCTTCCCTACTTCAGACTATTCCAACCAGAAGTCCTTCAGGAAATCACTTCAATAAATCTCTCTTCCCTAGAGAATAAAATCCACGGTTTTTTTTTTTTAAGATTTTATTTCTTTATTTATTTGACAGAGAGATCACAAGTAAGCAGAGAGGCAGGCAGAGAGAGAGGAGGGGAAGCAGGCTCCCCGCTGAACAGTGAGCCCAATGTGGGGCTCCATCCCAGGACCCTGAGATCATGACCTGAGCTGAAGGCACAGGCTTAACCCACTGAGCCACCCAGGCACCCCTAAAATCCAAGTTTTTAAGGTAATCCTCAAACCCCTCTATGATCTGGTCAGCCTGTGGCTCTGGCCTCCTTTCTTATACATTCCACCATCACCTACAAACCTTCAAACTCCACATTTCAGCAACCCTAAAATCATCGAAGTTCACCAACAGACCGGGGCATTTCAAGACTCTCAGATTTGCACGTTGCTTCCTTTTCCCAGGCTGACCTTCAGTCCCTTATTCACACTCACCTTCCAAACCTCGGTTAAGAGTGTCTTATTAATCACCCAAGCATTTCTTGGAGGACCCTCATCTCCAAAACTGACCCTGTGCTGTGCGTCCCCATGTACTTCCGCAGCCTGTTCGGAGTACCTACTGTCAATGTCCCTATGGGTTTCCTTGTCCAACGGCCCCACCAGACCTCTGCTCTCACAAAACAAGGGCAGAACAACTGATCTTTGCACTCTTAGCAACTGCCCCAGGACCCAGCAAGCACAAGACAGTAAAAACTGTTGAATAATGGAATAAACGAGTTCGGGGTACAAAATTGGCAGAAAAGAGACGGAAAGTTTAAATTAAAAGTCTGATGACAAGAAGTACTTCTGGACGGTCTAACACGCTCTACAGGAGTGTCTTGAGGCGGAGTGGGGAGCGGGGGCGCACGAGAAACTCCCACCCCGCGGAAAATGGAATGTGTACACCTTGGGGCTCAGGGAGAGCTTTTCAGAAAGGAGAGAAAAAGCGCTACTCACCCAGATGGCCGCTGTCCGGACCCTGGTGGCCATCCCCACGTTCGGGTCTATGCGTCCCGCGGGTGGCGGCAGGACCCTAGGGCTGCCGGAGGGGCAAGAAACTTGAAGGAGGCGGTCTCCCCGCCGCTCCCACCCTCACGCCGGGGAAAGCCTCCCGCCCCCACCGAGGGAGCCCCGCGGAGACGCCTCCCCTCTCGGAGCCCCGGGGCTCCGCGTCTCCCACGCCGCCCCCTTCCCAACACCTGCGCAACCGGGTCAGGAAACTGTTCCAAGTCCGGGCAGGGAGATGTGAGGTCAGAAGAGTTTCTACCGTCCCGCCGCCCTGAAGCTGAAGCGACTGGGCGCGTCGGGCTCCACTAACCCCTCAGCCGCCGGCCGGGGGACTCGGGGGGACGGGCCGCCTCTACCTCCCGGATCTGCAGTCACATCGGCTCTGGCCTCCCTTTTGAGTTGGCGGCGCCCGCCGCGGGTGTTTCGGCCACGGCTGTCGAGGCAGACGTGCTCAGCCACCTTCAGCTCGGGTCACCGCGACGGGAAACTGACACACACCACGAAACAAGGTTCTCTAGGCCGGGCCCAGCCAATGGCGGCCGTTAGGGACGCGCAGGAAACGCGTCGGTGCGACCTCAGGGCGGAGCGAACTACAACTCCCAGAAGTCCCTGCGGGAGCTCCCCTGGCACAGGTGGATGGGCGCCCTCCCAGGGCCGCGGGCGCCCAGAACACTGCGGAGAGAAGCTCGGGTTCTTGGCGTCCTGGCGGTGGACGCCCCAGCCGAGTCTCTCAAGGCGGCGGAGAATTGCAGTCGTGGGCAGCATTAGCGCAAGGCGGGAGTGGTATCAACGGAGGTGAAAATGTTCTGGGTATGGACATTGGGGAACGTATGTGCTATGGTGAGTGCTATGAAGTGTGTAAACCTGGCGATTTACAGACCTGTACCCCTGGGGCTAATAATACATTATATGTTAATAAAAAGATAAAAAAAATTTTTTTAATGTTCTTCGTTCTCTGCTTTCCCGAAATGGGGAATGTCCAGATTTACACGATAAAAACTCAGAAATTCATAATAACATGTTAACATAAATGACACTTTAATGAATATTAGTTAATAAATAAATAAATAAATAGGGGCGCCTGGGTGGCTCAGTGGGTTAAAGCCTCTGCCTTTGGCTCAGGTCATGATCTCAGGGTCCTGGGATTGAGCCCCACATCGTGCTCTCTGCTCGGCAGGGAGCCTGCTTCCCCCTCTCTCTCTGCCTGCCTCTCTGCCTGCTTGTGATCTCTCTCTGTCAAATAAATAAATAAAATCTTTTTAAAAAAAAGTAGTGAAGTGACATTGTTTGACATTTTTCTCGGGTGAAAAAATCTTTTAAATGTCTGGCTTCACAGAAAATAGCTGGGTTCTCAGGTCTGCCCCTGCATTCAATCTGTTGCAGATGTTTCTGTGGAAGTATTTAGAGAAGAACCCGCCTCACAGGTTTGTGGCTGGAAGAGAACCGAGTATTTTGAAATGCTTCTCAGATAATTATGGATACCCTTGGATAGCAACTAAGCAAGGGATACTTTAATTGCAGTGTACAGTCTGAAACCAGATAGGTGAAATTCCACTTTGTTACATTAAAATCTGTTTGTCTGGATACAGATGTAGTGAAAAGAAGGATCATCTGTACCCCAATGTTTATAGCAGCAATGGCCATGGTCGCCAAACTGTGGAAAGAACCGAGATGCCCTTAAACGGACGAATGGATAAGGAAGATGTGGTCCGTATACACTATGGAGTATTATGTCTCCATCAGAAAGGATGAACACCCAACTTTTGTAGCAACATGGACGGGACTGGAAGAGATGATGCTCAGTGAAATAACTCAAGCAGAGAGAGTCAATTATCATATGGTTTCACTTATTTGTGGAGCATAACAAATAGCATGGAGGACAAGGGGAGTTAGGAGAAGGGAGTTGAGGGAAATTGGAAGGGGAGGTGAACCATGAGAGACTATGGACTCTGAAAAACAACCTGAGGGTCTTGAAGGGGCGGGGGGGGGGGCGGTTGGAGGTTGGGGGAACAAGGTGGTAGGTATTAGGGAGGGCACATATTGCTTGGAGCACTGGGTGTAGTGCAAAACCAATGAATACTGTTCCGCTGAAAAGAAATTTAAAAAAAAATCTGTCTTGCACTTCAGATAGTTTTATTATCATGCTTCTCTACGATAATGAATTAGTTGTGTGTAAATATCAGTTCACTGACTTATGCAGATATTCCAAATGACACATTCCACTTTACAATATGAAAAATCCTATTTAATATTGTCATTGATCTTAAGTATTGGAAAACTGTGAGAATCAGTGGCAGATACAAGTTTCCCAAAATTGTACTCTTAATGTGAAAACGCTAATTTTGGCAGGCGCCTAGGTGGCAGTCCAATGGGCTTTTGATCTCAGTTCAGGTTTTCATCTCAAGGTCGTGATTTCAAGCCCTGCCTTAGGCTCCACACCTAGAAAACTTGAATTTTATGTTGCCAATAAATAAATACGGTCATTTGTTTCCCTTGAAGTGACAAGCTCAATTTTGGGGACAATGTCTGCCACATCCATGAGTGCCTTGTCTTCAGTCCTTTTTTAGCAAGGTGAAGCCCCCAGATCAAATCACCACACAAGTGCTTTTTCTGGAGATAACTATGGAACTTCAGTGCGGAGTCAGAGTATCTGTTGCACAGATATTAAAAAGATAAGCACTTGAGTTGATTTAATACTTTTACTGCTCTATCAAGGATTTCATAAAGTGAAATAAATCCTAAATACTAAATGTGGAAAGGAAGAGTCTAAAAGTTTTACACTGAAATGGAGAGTTAGCATCTTTTGCCCACTACTGATTGGTTAAAATAATTTCAATCATATACTAGTTACTCATATGCTATTAATTTTCTAAGCTTCTGTAACAGGCTACCACAAACTTGGTGGCTTAAAATGATACAAATGTATCTCACTGTTCTGTAGGTCAAAAGTTCCACACAAGTCTTACTGGGCTAAATCAAAGTGTTGGCAGGGATCCTTCACTTCTGGAGGCTCTTGGGAAAGGATTCTTTCCCTTGTCTTTTCCAGATTTTAGAGGCTACATGCATTTCTTGGATCATGGCCCATTTCCTCTGCATCCAAAACCAGCTACAGAGTTGAGTACTGTTCACATCTCTCTGGCCTCCTTGGTCTCCCTCTTCCTCTTTGAAGCATGTATGGATTACATGGGCGATATTTGGATAATACTGGATTGGCATACTTCATTCTCCTTTGCCATGTAATATATTCAGAGATTCTAGGATTAGGATGTGGACATCGTTCAGGAGCCGTTATTTTGTCTACCATATATATGTGGGTCTGTCTCTAGTCTTTATTTCATTCCACTACAATGGAACTACATTGAGGTGCCTATAATGAGGGTCTGCAAACTTTTTCTGTAAAAGTCCAGTGTATTAGTATGATGATGATACAGTACCACAGACTGGGTAGCTTGAACAAATTTATTTCCTCACAGTTCTGGAGGCTGGAAGTCAGAGATCAAGGTGTCAACAGAATTGGTTTCTTCTAATCCCTCTTCTCATATCCCCTGTCCCCACATGGTTGTCCCTCTGTGAGTGTGTGTGCCTGTCCCCACCTCCCAAAAGGACACTAGTCAGACTGGATTAGGGCCCACCCTAGTATCATTATTTTAACTTGTAATGTTTATTTTTTTTTAAAGATTTTATTTGTCAGAGAGAGAGAGGGAGAGAGAGCAAGCACAGGCAGACAGAATGGCAGGCAGAGGCAGAGGAAGAAGCAGGCTCCCTGATGAGCAAGGAGCCCGATGTGGGACTCGATCCCAGGACGCTGGGATCATGACCTGAGCCGAAGGCAGCCGCCCAACCAACTGAGCCACCCAGGCGTCCCAACTTGTAATATTTAAACTTGAAAGACCCCAGTCAACATTCTGAGTTACCGGGGATTAGGACTTCCAGCATAGGAATGTGGGGAGGGAGATAACTCATCTGATAATAATGAGTAAATGTTTTAGGTTTTGTGTACCACAATTACTGAACCTTGCCATTGTAACACAAAAGCAGCCACAGATAACACATGCGTGAATGAGCCTGGCCATGTTCCAGTAAAATTTTAATTACAAAAGTAGACAGAAGGCCAGATTTGTCCTATGTCCATTGTTCACTAATTCCTGGTCACCACCATGCCGGTGCACCAGTCTTCTTATTCTATTAGAGTAAACCTTGACAAGTAATAGATCAAAACCTTTTTTGTTGTTCTTTAAAATTGTCTGTTACTTTTATGCCTTTGGTCTTGCATGCATATTTTAAGTTTCAATTACCGAGTTTCATGTAAAACCCTTTATAACAAATTATGATCTATTAGGGTGTCATCTCCATGTGGCACACATGGTTGCTTCACTGTCCGATAACTATCCTCTCTCCTTCTTTGCTAGAACTTTGTATGTTTACATATTGGTTGGCCATAAGTTTATGGCATTTCCCCTTTCTAGATTCAATGAATGAATGTTGAGTTCCTCAATTCATTCAACAAGTATTTATTGAATGCCTACTCCGAGCTAGCCACTGTATTAGGCACAGAGGATACATCAGTAATTAAAACTAGACTCCTTGGGGAGGGGCAGCTGGGTGGCAGTCAGTTGAGCATCTGACTTATGATTTCAGCTCAGGTCATGATCTCAGGGTCATGAGATTGAGCCCTGGCTCAGGCTCTGTGCCCAGCATGGAGTCTGCTTAAGATTCTCTCTCCCTCTCCTGCTAATGTACTATCAAATTAATTAATTAATTAGTTAATCTTTAAAACAAACAAACTAGGATCCTTGAGGCATCTGGGTGGCTCTATTGGCTCAGTGTCCAACCCTTGACTTCAGCACAGGTCATCTTAGGGTGGTGAGATCCAGCCCTGCGTTGGGCTCCATACACTGCAGGGAGACCAAGACCTCTCTCTCTCTTCGTCTGCCCCTCACCCCTGCTGTCTCTAAAATAAGTAAATCTTTCAAAAAAGAAAACCCACTAGGATCCTTTGTGAAGCATTTATTTTGGCAAGGGAAGACAGATGATTGATTGGTTGATAAATAGGAAAGGAGTACTACTGATAACATGAAAAGAATAGGATTAAGGAATTAGCAGTACCAGCTGGGTGGCTGCAATTTTAAATAAAGCAATGTTGCAGTCCTAGGTCACTGGCAACAAACTACCACAGAGTGTGGCCTTCAACAACAGATATTTGACTTATAGTTCTGGAGGCTAGAGGTCCAAAATCAAGTTGTTGGTAGGGACTGGTTCCTTCTGAGGGCTGTCATGAAGGATCTGTTACAGGCCTCTGTCCTTTAACCTGTAGACCCACCTTCTCCCTGTGCTCCCCACATCATCTTCCCTTTATATGCATCTCTGTATCCAAATGTTCCCCCCCTTTTTTATTTTTATTCCCCCCCCCTTTTTTAAATAGAAGTGCACCATTGATGCTGGATTATAGCTTCACTAATGACTTAACTTGATGACCTCCATGAAGACCCTTT